TTCAGTAAAAAAACAAATCTTTTATCAATGTCTAATCTACTTCACATCGAGGATTGTTTTTTCACTTTAAGGACACTTGGCATCACGTTGTACCTTTGCTACGTTAATTAATTAACATCTCAACATAGCCATGTCCCTTTTAACGGCGAAAACACTCCATTGTCTGTATTCAACATGATTATTTTACGATGCCGCCAGTCCAACCATGAAACAGTCCATTCGACCAAAAGTCACAATAAATCATTAAATGTTTATGGCACAGTGTTACGACAGAATGTCGTTCTTTGGGATTTAAGCGTAAAACACTACTACATAAATTACACATGGAGTCAAAATAAACATGTTTGACTTGTAGACCCGGACACGTCTTACTTTCTGTATCGATTTGTTTTATTTTAGCTCACGTTCATAGCTGAGATGTTATTCAGAACGGAAAAAAATCTTAATAAATGCGGCCCTGATGCTTATTTTCAGACGGAAGGTACGGCTGATTGTACAGATCCGCTCATGCAGCCTAAGCAGAGTATGTTTGAAAGACGATCTTCAAAAAGAAAAAATAAAGACGATAGAGGCAGGATATTGATTCCTCACGACAGGAAATACGTGACTTCCTTTTATATTCACAGGCGCTTTTTAATATTTTTATTTTTGATAGTTTACCCCGAATGTCGCCCTTTTCGCATATGCATAACCCTTTACAGAAAACTTCTTTTGTTCTAACTAGTCGCCCTAGAAAATGTCAAAGGTGAACCTTAGTAACGATGAGAACTAATTGGTGTTGGCGGTTGAGGGGCTTCAATTTGATTAAAGCATAATGATTTCTGTGGTAGAAAGCCGAGAAACTTTTTATCATTAGCATAAATAAACAAAAAACTTTTAATTTCTCATATAATTTCACCCGGCTCGATCAATAAATTCAAGTTCAATATCTCGTTATTAAAAAATATATTGAGAAATTCTGCAATATAAACAGCAAAGTATGTCGGTATAAGTTAGCCAACATGCAATGCAGAAAAAAGGGACTTTTTCAGAATTGTAATTCGAAACTACCTTGTTCGGCACGTTTACGGCTTCGTGCCAAAACTGACAGAAACAATTTTCTCAGTGAAATAATATTTTAAATGTAACAACCTACGATTTGACAACGTCCAATAAAGTCCCTTCACTTAATCTACTGCTATTTTTGACGGGTTAACCAGTCGAATACCGTTTAATCGGAATTATTTGAAATACGGACTTTTTTTTCCAAAGAAACACGAATTGAAATAAATTATTCAGAAATCGTGAGATGCGGTCTGGTGTGATGTAGGTTTCAGAAAAACATTTTCTTTATCGTGGGCACTCTCAACACGACACGCAAGAATGGCACAATTACCCAGAAGACAAACACTTTGAGCCCTAAAGATGATCTCAATAAAGTTCGAAACGTTGGCAAGATAAAGAAAATGTTTTACTAAAACCTACATCACACCAGACCGCATCTCACGATTTCTGAATAATTATCGATTAACGGTCACTAAACACCACACAATTGAAATAAAGTTGACCTCTAATGAAAATAATATGATTTGTTATGTAGAAACCTAATTGGTATGCGAAAAGTCGGTTGTGAGTTTTTCCATTCACTAAAATTCTCCTCAAAATTTATTGTTATTATTTGTAATAAAATTAATTGGCAAAATCAGTCAAACGGGGCAAAATAATCTTCTCTTTCCACTTTTGATCCCATACTTTTTGCTTTAAACATTTTTTTAAACCATTAACATTTCAGTGTTGATTGTGCATATTTGGATTGAATGAATTTAATGTGACTGCCTACGTAATTGAATATTTGATTTAAATTGACCAATTTTTCTTAAATTTATATATTTCCCCCATCTCTCTCTCTCCCCCTTCTCACTCTCATTCTCTCTCTCTCTCTCTCTCTCTCTCTCTCTCTCTCTCTCTCTCTCTCTCTCTCTCTCTCTCTCTCTCTCTCTCTCTCT